CTCTCTCTCTCTCTCTCTCTCTCTCTCTCTCTCTCTCTCTCTAGGATAATGGCGGGCAAAGTGAAATGGGTGACGGACATTGAGAAGTCGGTGCTCATCAATAACTTTGAGAAGAGAGGCTGGGTCCAAGTGACAGAGAATGAAGACTGGAACTTTTATTGGTGAGCTAGTGACTTCCCCCTCTTTTCCACCTGGCACTTACACTCCCTGAAGGCAATCTCCTGCCCAATCGCTGTAGGCCTTGGTGACCCCCTGTATAAAATGGGCTCATCAGCCCTCCTGCCATTGGAAATGGCGGAGTCGTGCGGCCTACTTTCTTCCCAGAGAATTTATTTCCAGCCACTTACTCATGCTTTCATTATCAGTGCTTTAATTGCAATAAGCAGAGTCCCAGTGTGCCAGCCTCGCCCCTGAAATCGGCAGGTCTTTGAATACTAATGATCACCCAACGCAGTTTGGTGCCTGCACAGCAGATAGTGCTGAGGTGGGGGTCAAGAGAGGGGCAGGCGTTTGCTGGAGGACGCCGTGCGAGCAGATGGGAGGAGAAGGTAAAAAGAGCGAGTGCAGTTTTAACCACGAGTTTTGACGGTTGGATTTATGCTCATCACAACTTACTGTGCACCTTTCACTTTAGAATTTTCAGAATGATTTCACCAGCATCATCTCACATAACATTCACGACCATCCTGATGTGAATAGAATTAGAGAATGCTAGAGTCAGAAAGACCCCATGAGATCACTTAGTGCTTCCCCTCCCTCATTTTATAGTGGGGGAGACTGAGGCCCAGAAAGGGTCAGTGACGAGTCTGGCCCAATCCCCTTCTTCTCCTACCCCATCCCTGTCCTGTGCTGTGGCCCTGGGCTTGGACTGGCTGCTGGTGGCTCCGTTCTGTGGATGTGCAGACAGATGAGGTAACTTTGGCCCAAAGCCTGATTTGAGCTCTTACTCTCTTGCGTCCTCTGAGGGAAGGCCCAGCATGGGCTGTTGGGCCCTGTCCTGGTCTTCCCACAGCTAACAGGCCTTCTCCAGGAGCCACCAGTGACACACGCAAAGCAGAGGCCGGCCCCTCATTGCACAGAGGAACGGTGGGGCCAGACCGTGGTGTGGGATTGAGAGAGGTTGGATTGGAGGCCGCTGGGGGACGGAAGCTGTGCTCCCGGGAGTGCAAGCTTTTCTGTTTGGACTTTAATCCCCCCCCCCGTGCCAGCTTGAGTTTATAGACTGATTTGCTAAACCAAGAGCTCCCTGAGGGTCTGGAATCCTCCCTGCTTCCTGCTTCTTCTTTACCCGTTAAGTAGGGCCTCCATGGCTGCAGAGCTCAGGCTGTCTGGCTCAGTCCTTCCCAGGCCACGCCCGTAACAGTCACATCAGCGATGCCCTCAGTGTCTGCCTGTGCCCGGCATCTCGTCCTCTGCACACTTGTCCAGATCCTCCCCAGATCCTGATCTCGCCCAGACTCTGCCCCACAGGGTCAGAGGACCAGGGCAGCCCTCAGGGCATCCATCGGGCATCACACCGATGCGTGTTGGTCATGGTACGGCCTCCTGAAGCCCTCAGGGAGTTCTGTTGTGCGAAGCACGTGCACGCACTGAGTACATAAAAAATGGTTGGAAATGACAGGGGCCGGGCCCTGTGATTGCATTACTCTGCGGAGCTGCCAGGCACCCGTGTGGGCGACCCCTTCTCTGTGTTGTCCGAGACAGGAGCCATGTAGCCCAGCAGCCTAGCCCGGCCTGCAGGCTCCCTAAGTAGTAGCGAGTGGCAGGCCTGATCTGGCCCTGGGGCCTACTCCTGAGCACTGGATGTCAAGTGATCTGCCCAGGCTCACTGGCCACTATTAGCCAGAAATGGGGCTCGCACCCGGGGCTTCCTGGCTCTCAGGCCAGCTCTTCATTAATTCTGCCCCACTGTCTCTCAAAATAATAAATAGAACGTTATTTTTGGAGGTAAAAGAAGGGAGGCTCTGGCAGCTGAAGGTTTCAAGAAGGGCTTCCTGTAGGAGGAAGCACAGGAGCTGAGCTTTGAAAGACATGAGAGGATTCCAAGGGGCAGAGGGAGGGCATTCCAGGCAGGGGAGACAGCCTGAGCAAAGGTTGAGAGGTGGGAGATCATAAGCTGAAGGGCCCTTAGAGGCCATCTGGTTCACCCTCCTCATTTTTTAGAGGAGGAAACAGGCCCAGAGAGGTCAGTAGCGCCTCCCCCAGGTTCTAGGCCAGCAGACCTGGGATTAGAAGCTCCTGGCTCTTTCTAGTGACCGCACTGACCAGCAGCAGTGAGGGCTCCCCTACAGCGTCGAGGCGGGATAGGCACTCTGCCACATGCCTCTGCTTGCCTTTCCTTTCAGGATGAGCGTACAGACAATCCGGAATGTGTTCAGTCTCGAAGCTGGCTACCGCCTCTCCGACGATCAGATAGTCAACCATTTCCCCAACCATTATGAGCTGACCAGGAAGGACTTAATGGTGAAGAACATTAAAAGATACAGGAAAGAGCTGGAGAAAGAAGGAAGTCCCCTGGCAGAGAAGGACGAGAATGGGAAATACATTTATCTGGGTTTGTATCTGCTGGTTGCATCTACACCTCACTCTGTGTGCATCTCACCTTAGACCTGCGGGGTCTAAAAAGGCCAGGCCAGCAGAGGGCAAGGCCTGACAGGCCCTACCAAGGCTTGAGATGCAGCCCTAGAGACAGATTACAGCCCTGTCCTTCCAGACTGGGCCTAACCTGGCAAAGGCCAGAGATGAGCATTATCTCCCAGGCCACAGCATGACAGAATGTCAGAGCCGGGAGGGCCAGACAACAGGGGGTGTCAGGACTGAGAGGGGCCTTAGAAGAGGGGATGTCAGATCTGGGAGGGGCCTGAGAACAGGGGATGTCAGGACTGAGAGAGGCTTTAGAAGAGGGGATGGCAGAGCCGGGAGGGCCAGAGAACAGGGGATGTCAGGGCTGATGGGGTCTGAGAACAGGGGATGT